TTTCAATTCTCATTTTTTCCAAAAAGACTTGGAATATTATTGGGGATGATATATTTGAAGCTGTCAATGAATTCGTTTTATCTGGCAAGCTTCTTAGGCAAGTTAACCACTATCTTCTTGCTCTCACTCCCAAATTTGATAATGCCTCCCGGGTGAATCATTGTAGACTAATTGCTTGCTGCAACATATTGTACAAAATCATTTCTAAGCTCTTGGCTAATTGGATTGCCCCTATTTTGGAGAAGATTGTTGGAGAATCTCAATATGCTTTTTTGAAGAATAGAAACATGATTGATAATATTTTTCTTGTTCAAGAGATTTTCTGAAAGTATTTGCGTTAGAGAACATCTCCTAGGTGTTTTGTTAAAGGTTGATCTTCATAAAGTTTATGATTCCGTGTCTTGGAATTTTCTTGAGTGGGTACTTAAAGCTGTGGGTTTCCCCTATCAGTTTTGCTCCTAGATCATGGAATGCGTCACTTCCACTTCCTTTAGTGTTGTGATGAATGAATCGATTCATGGCTACTTTAAAGGTCACCGTGGCTTGAGACAAGGGGATCCATTTTCTCCTTATCTTTTCGTTCTTTTCTTGGAATATTTCTCTCGGGATCTGAAAAGCATAGAAGACAACACTACTTTCAATTTCCATCCCTCTTTTGCTGCTATTCATTAAACTCATCTTGCTTTCGTAGATGATATTATACTTTTTCCAGAGGTGATCTCTTATCTGTCACTACCATCTATGATAAGCTTTAGAATTTTTGTGCTATTTCTGGCCTGTCCATTAGCATTGAGAAATCTGCCATTTACTTAGCAGGTGTTGACAACAATGTGCTCACTGCTTTGCTTGAGCTCACAGGCTTTAGCACTGGTTCTTTCCCATTTTGCTACCTGGCGTTCCGCTTATGTCGTCCAGGCTAAATGTTTGCCACTATGCCCCTCTGCTATCTCAAATTTCTGGGCTCATTCAGGGTTCGTGCCGAAAGACTCTCTCTTATGTAGGTAAATTGGAACCTATTCGAGCCATAGTCCAAGGTACTATCAACTTTTGGATGGGAGTTTTTCCTCTGCCCAGTTCAGTTCTTGACTTGATTATCGCCTATTGTAGAAATTTCTTATGGGAAAAATCTGATTTGGGAAAAAAGAAACCATTAGTTTCTTGGAATGCAGTTCGTTCCCCCAAAAAAGAGGGTGGCCTGGGACTATTTTGTCTCAAATCTTGGAATTGGGCTCTCCTTTCTCATGTCCTTTGGGATCTTCATTCTAAGAAGGATTCATTGGGTGCACCATTTTTATTTCAAAGGTGGTTCAATTTGGGACTTCCACAACAATGGTTCCAATTCTATCCTTCTCAAAAGAATTGCATCCATTCGTGACTTGATCATAAGCAGAGAGGGATATGTCGAAGCAACAAAGCAAAAGCTTCATTCATGAGTCCACAATGACCAGCTCCATGTAGGCAATGCATATGATTACATCTGCACCAGCAAGTCAGTATTATGTTGTTTGGAATACATCTCTTCCCCCTCAAATTTTCATTCATTCTGTGGCTTGCTGCAAAGAAGAGATTGCTTACTCTTGATCGGGCTGAATTCTTAAATAGAGGCTTCCTTTTCCCTCTTTGCAATACAAAGGCTGAGAGCCATGACCATATTTTCTTCTCTTGTAGCATCACTCTTTGCATCTGGGGTTGCATTCGCGACTGGCTCCCCTTCAACAGGCACACCATCTCATTGTAGGGCATCATCAATAGACTCATTCAAGGGCGAGCAATCTCAAGCCTTTTGGGAAAACTTCGTTTCTTGGCTTTAGCCACCATTGTATATTGCATCTGGATGGCTAGGAATTTAATGTTTTTTGAGAATTCTCCCATTTTTGTAGAGGATGTAATTGACAAGATTAAATTTCTTGTTTTCAGACACTCACACTTGATGCATATGTATTAGTCACTTGCACTTGGTGTATCTGTTCTTGTTTTTTCCTGTATCCGGGTATGCCTCGTTTATTTTGTAAATTATTTGGGTTAATACAATTTTACATTTTGCAAAAATAAAAATAAAAATAACATACTTTGCCCGTGGTAGAGGCTAGCTATGTTGCACCGACACCGACACGGGACACGGGATACGATACGACTCGACACTCCGACATGTTAATTCTAAAAAATATTAAATTTCGACACGTTATGACACGTTTTGATATTATATAATATTTTTAATTTATGTAGTGTATATTATATTTAGTATTCAATAATTTAACTAAAAAATAAATCTAAACTTATAATACCCATCAATTTTGCAAAGAAACATAAGATATCCCAAATGTTTATATTAAATTTAATAAAATCGTAATCGTAATCTAACGAATCTAAGAGTTAGAACTCAAAATGTAAAACAATGTAACCTTTAAACCTTTTTTAAGTCTTTGCAACGAGTATTGGAGTGTCGGGAAGTGTCGGAGTGTCGGTGAGTGTCGGACACGACACGTCAAGATTTTTGAAGTGTTGGTGCTTTATAGGAGGGTAGAGCCCATGACTACTGCCTTCTGGTGCCCTCATGCTAGTGGCTGCTCTGACACGAGCTCCATTGCCATCACTCAACCACTCGAGAGATTCAAAAGCTTGCGATTTGATGAATTTCCGTCGCGACAAGCTTCATTTGCATAACAAATTTCAATTATGTATAAGTTACAAAGAATGTGAATTTTTTTTTAATTTATATAAGATTTTTTCATACGTGTGACAGACATGTTCTTTGTTTGTAGCTGGTACATATATGGATTTTATAAGAGTTATATTGTAGGAAAAGTGATTTTGTAATGTTATAGAGATTCGTTTTGCGTGCCTTAATTTTTTATTTATTTTTTTGTTTTAAAAAGTGTTGGCCCCACAAAATGTTGTGAGAATAGAAAAGTTTGTTGTGTTATGTTAAAGGATAAAACGAAAACCATATATATATATATTTACATACCGGAGAGAATTTACTCTCAACAAATAGTGTTAATATGATGGCTTTATAAGAGTTTGTGACATATATATGAGTGTGGAATGCGGAGTGTAGTGCCCTTCAACAGTAGCACAGTTGTATCGTAGTGATAATAATATTGCGTGTAGAAATGAACCGACCAAATATGTTTCTTGTGAATGGAATTGCCTAGGATTGCTGAAGCACGAGTTTATCATCTGAAAACGACGACGTTGGTGGGTGCCAATCGCTATCTATCTTTGTTTCTGCTCACTATGGATACCAACGAGCCATTCATTCAATTTGCACGTCCTTGTCACTCACCCACGCAACCAAGATTGGTCATTCTTTCAAGACCCACACTATCCTGCGTTTGGTTGAGAGAAAAAAAAAATTTATCCGGGAATCTCAATTTTTAAAAATATGATTTTTACATTCAGTTTACAATAATATTTTAAAATTAAAAATTTAAAAAAATTCAATTTTTCAAAATTCTCGAAGAATCCCGCGTATCAAACGGGTCCGGAAATTTAGGTCTTTGTACTTTGTAGGAAACGGTATATGACTAAATGGAGTTCTCGATATCTAAAATTTTCCTTCTATATATGGTTACCTCTTCCTCTGAGAGAATGAAAGATGATATATCATACGTTCCGAATAGTTGGACTCAACATTGGACTTAACCTTGACTATGCCATTAAGCCCATTCCATTATTTTTGGCAAACAAAAACTACTCTTATATTTTTTTTGTGGGCATGGAGCATGGTGACCCGCCCCCCCCAAAATAAAAAAAAAAGGAGGAATTGAGGAGAAAAAAACTAAAAATGAGAGATAGAAATGGAATAAAATTTTCCATAAATAAAAAAGGAATCATGGAATAAGTGGTGGGCTTGGAGCAAAATAAATTTTTAGGAAAAGTTTACCAATACTTCTGTGATTTTTTTATCACATATACCTATGTTATTTTTTACTTTTTACAATCTAATGGGCATATGTGATAAAAAAAAAATCACATGAGCATAAGTGATTCTAAAGAAAATCATGAGGGTATTCGTGAACTTTTTCTTAAATTTTTCCATGTTTGAGATGTTGCTCCGTACCTCAGCAATTGAAAAATAAAAATATTGCTATATGGGTTCAGATCTATGATAAAAAGTATTTGTTTTTATTAAAGGCAAATAACATTATATCTTCCTGAAACTTTTCCTATATTAACTTGTAGAGTTTCAAAAGTTATTGTTTAAAAGCCTTTCGGACTAATATTCTTTGAGTGCTTCGTTATTTCTGCAAACAGAATTTGAAACGGAACATATGTTACGATTTACCATCGTGATTCCAATGTTAAAATTAGTTATTTATGAAATTTCAAAGCATGAGAGGTTTGAAAAGCATGTTTGGTCCAAGTCGTACTTATTTATGAAATTTCAAAGCACGACATATTTGAAAAGCATTATTTATGAAATTTCAAAGCATGAGATATTTGAAAAGCATGTTGGTCCAAGTCGCAAGAAGTTCAATTCTTAATTGGGATCCAAAATTTGAGAACACGCTCAAATTAATTGGTATCCAAAATAGTTTCTGAATAGCGGAGGTTTCAGACAAAATAAAAAATGTTTATTGTTCACAAGCATAAGATTTCTTAACATTAAGAATACATGTGCATGCTGCTATCAGAATTTTACAAGTTAACACAGCAGATACGTAACTAAATTGTACTCATCCCATAAATCATTCTCCAATATAACTATTAACAGGAAATTATACAGTAAATATGCGTCTAAAATAATGGAACCTGTACAGGCTCAGGAAGTATGAAATGACCCTATTCTTGAATATAAATGAAAATTTGACACAAATCTAAAATGCAGTTTTGGAGGCCTAGTTGTCCGCAATTTTTTAATGCCATCATCATATTTGCGCAGCCACCTCTACCAAATATAAGCTTTTCAGTTACACAAACTCACCAACTTGGAAGAAATAGACAAATAGTTACATACAACAATTCTACTACTATAATACAAGAACAAATAGAGCTAGAGAAGGAACTGTCCTGTTTGAATAGATATAAACGCCTTAGTCTTTTAGCTTGTAATGCAACAAGCAAAGGAACTCAAATGCGAATATATTTTGTAGAGGACTACTAAGAGGTGAAACAACTTGGATGTTATAGTGGAAGCACAGTTTCAATCTGACTACCCACCTTAAATAAAAATTTTATTGATTGATATCACCTTGTTAAGTACAACCAATATAAAGTTGCTTCAAGTTGTTAAGCTACAAGATGGGAATTGAATCCTAAAACTCCCCTGTTAAACCAAATTGGTGACAGGCTAATGCTTAATTTCAACTTCTCAAAATAGACCATGTTAGAGTTGAATTGAAGAAGATCATAGCCTTATAGACAAATAAAACAATGTGCACCTCTACTAAAGTGAATAGTACAGGAGATTGACTCTCAATCTCGCATACCAAGTTCCACCTCAAGTTCATCATCATCTTCAAACAACTTCAAAAGCTGAGCATGCTGCTCTTCTCTCTTCTTCTTTTGCCATAATTTTAAAAGAAAAACACAAAATGCTATGACAGTCACCATACCAAGGCATATTAAAATAATGTCAAACACTGTTCTTGAAGCTCCATGACTCACTTCTTTACTTTCATGTTTGGTTCCTGATGGGTCATCTTTGGCTAATCCTTCAAGTTCACAAAATTTACGTAAGTCCCCAACAAGAACAATTATCCTCTGCTTCCATATAACAAATTGAAATGATAAATAACTAATCTTAGGAATAGAATTTTGTTGATTGCCAAGGGGAAGGATATACTTACCACCAAAAAAATTTACCACCTTTAAAACCAACTTGATCACCGTTGATTTCCGTTAATCCAACGGTTATACTTATTTGGAAATTATTGGTTGTACTTATTAATTCTAAATAAAGTATAACTGTTAGATTGACGAAAATCAACGGTGATTAGATTAGTTGTAAATGTGGTAAATATTTTTGGTGGTAAGTATATCCTGCCCCGATTGCCAATATGTAACGTTACAAAGTACCAGCTTATAATCCAAAAAAACTTAGCGGCTAAACTAATGGTCAAACATATAATTATTGATTTCATAAAGTGCTGAAAATGGTGAAATTTTAAAATGTAAAACATTTGCCCCTCCTATCCTCTACCCTACACAACATCCAAAACAAACACAAGAGGAATCTTTCTGAGCGTATTATATAAAATGAAAGTAATATGTGAAAATTTTTATGCAACAACACTTCGAGACCAATCCAATAACTACTTGAAATTTACTTTAGGAAACAGAACATGCTAGCATTTAACCTAAATGAGCATAATGTATTGATTACCGGGAAACAAATAATAATAAAAGAATCTCAAGTGATTCGACAAATAACCCACTAATTCAATTTCAGTTTATGATTAAACATTGGAACCTATTTGTGATTATTAAAAGTAAATTTCAAAATTGCAAACAAAATCACAGAAATTGTTAATACCCACAAAGAAATGAATGCAGAAAGAGAGATACCAGAAAAGATTTGAAGAGATGCGACTGCGAAGAGAAATGGGTATGGAAGAGATTTTCCTGCAGTGAAAGCACGCATCACCACCATGCTCCTCTTCTATGCGAATTCCCTTTACTCTACTTTTCCCCTGGAACACAATTTAAGGTGTCATTGCAGTTATTTGCCATTTAACTCCCAAAGTCCTCCGTATAATTTAGGTTAAATCACGTGGGAACGACTTACAACCAACTTGTGTTACTGTATTATCAATTAATTTCAGTGTTAGATCGATTATGTTGATCAAATACTTATATTTATTTTCATCTTTGTGTAGTCATGATTCCCCATATTTAATACTTTATATTTATTTTCACCTTTGTATGAAAATCATAACCATACAAAGGTGAAAATAAATATAAAGTATTAAATTTGGGGAGTCATGACCATACAAAGATGGAAATAAATATAACCGTTGGATCAATATAATCGATCTAACGGTAAGATTGATTGGTAGTCACTTGGTAGTAATACAACTTGGTTGTCACAATATCCTTCCCCTAAATTACAATCATTAATAAAGTATTTTTTGAGTGCTCAACAAATATTATGGAGTATAATTTAATCCTTTAAAAAAATAAAAAAATTTGTGCTCTTCTAAAATTCAAAATAGACCCATATTGAAGGAGCTCTTTTTGAATTTTAGAGGAACCACGATTTCGATTAATTAGGTCTTTTTGAATTTCAGATGGACCATAAGTCAATTCTTTTTTTCCCTAAAAGATTAAAATGGGCCTAATGATTTTTGTTAAAGACCCAAAATGTACTTTACTCTATAATAAATATTTACTATTTTTTTTTATAAAAAAATAAATATTTCTTTTATTTCCTGAAGTATCCAGGAAAAAAATATTAAAAAATGTAGTTTAAATAAAAATATACGGAAGTAAAGCAATTGACAATTATTTACTAAACTAATGCAATGAATTACATACCATTTTAGATACAGTTGATTGTGCATCATATTAAGCGCAATAAGACACCAATTGCGTATTAAAAAAGACACACTAAATACGAAATATGAGTAATATCCAACAAAATATAAATAAATGTACTGTTAAAATTAAATGTACAACTCATTATTTTTACAATCATGTAAAATGATCCTACTATATATTTATGGCTAAATTACATGTTACCCTCTTGTACTTTGGTCACTTTTCAAAAAAGCACCTTCTATTTTTAATTGCTGCAATTAATCTTCCTGTACTATGTAATGTTTACGATTAAATATATCCGTTAAATTTTTTCAAACTCTGTTAACTGTTCACATTTTTTCAAGTTTTTTTTTTTTTGAAACCATTTTTTCAAGCTTTTTTGCATCAAAAAAAAGATCCATCACCCTTCGTGCCCCAACACCAACAAACATCTCTTCAATTTCACTTCCACTGCCTAAGAAAAAAGGAACCCAGCCTCCAGCAATCGCTCTTGCCAACATCGTTTTATATGATAGGATGGCAAGGTAAGACAAAGAAGATGATGCAGAAAATCGGCGGTCATAGGTGAGTATCTCACCTTGCTTTGCTTTAGTTTTGTTGTCGGGTTCTTGTGTTTCTCTAATTAAGAACTATTTTTTTTTTCTTTTTTTTGAGTTATTAGATAATGAGGGAAAGAAGCACGTAACTAGTTAACAGAGTTTGAATTTTTTTAACAGATATGTTTAATTGTTAAAATTACATAGTAGAAGGAGGTTACTTGTAACAATTAAAAGTAAAAGGTGGTCTTTTGAAAAGTGACATAAGTACAGGGGGTAACATGTAATTTAGCCTATATTTATAATATAATAAGCATATCTTTGGCCCACTCTTAAGGTTGTATCTTCTTCCTCCATGATATTTAGTATCAATGCATTAATATTTGGTTTGAGGAAACAGCTCAACTTGCCGACCCGCCAAAATGGAGCGGATGTGTATTTCAACCCATCAACCTAACACAACCTGCAGGTCGACTTGCATCTCACTTTATATATATATATATATATATATATATATATATATATATATATAAGGATATTGTAACAATCAAGTTGTGTTACTACCAATGTTACTACCAATCAATCTCACCGTTAGATCGATTATGTTGATCCAACAATTATATTTATTTTCATCTTTGTATGGTCATGATTCCCCAAATTTAATACTTTATATTTATTTCCACGTTTGTATAGTTATGATTTCTCATATTTAATGCTTTCACTTTAAATATAGGGAATCATAACCAAAGATGAATAAATATAACCGTTGGATCAACATAATCGATCTAACGGTGAGATTGATTGGTAGTAACATTAGTAGTAACACAACTTGGTTGTTACAATATCATTTCCCTATATATATATATATATATATATATATATATATATATATATATATATATATATATATATATATATATATATATGGCTTGGTTGGTCTATGTAATGGCTATTATATGAGACAAAATATTTTCCTTTAAGGCATAATGTTATTATTTTATTGGGAAAGTTACTTTTTATTTACTTTTAATTCGACAGAAAAAGAGAATAAAACAAAAAAATAAAAGAAACTTAAGGTTATTTAGTGATTTAAATGTAAGTATCCATACAAATCAAATTAAATGCTTAAGAAATTATAATTATAGGATTCAATGATGTGTTCTTTTGCAAATATTCACATACTTGATATTTTTATTTTATTAAATAATAACATTGAAATTATTATTTAATTTCAAGAAAGGATTTGTATAGTTATGTTAATTGAAATTATTGGTTTGAATTATCCTTTTGTCTTTGACTCATGTTAAAGATTAGAAATAAAATATAAGTATTAATATTAATATTTTTTTTAATATTTTATTTCTTAGATGGGTTGACTTGCCAACCCATCACAAAATAGGGTAGATTGTGTTAGGAATGTGGCTTCCATACTCAAGAGGGGGGGGGGGTGAATTGAGTATTACATGATTTTGGCAAAACCCTCCTTCTAGTTTCTAAATAATCATTGGAAGCACACTTTGATATATGAAAAGCTAATCAATGCATTCAAACAATCCATAACATATAATATATCACAATTATAGAACTTATACTAGCACATACAAGATATCAAAGAAGCAATTAAAGTGCTAGAAATAAAGAGTTTAGAGTTTAAAGAATTGCAAACACAATATATCCTGGTTCGGTCACCACCACTTGTGACCTGTGTCCAGACTGAAGCCGCTCGATCAAGTCTTTCACTAATGGTCAAGCTTCACGGGTGCCTGACAAACCTTTACAATCTTCTAAGACTTCGGGTTTTTGGATACCTTACAATCTCTTAGTTTACGGGTACTTGGCAACCTTACAATTCACTCCAAATTTACTTAGGTATTTGACTACCTCTCAAACAATGGGTCTCACAACTCTTTCAACTCAAGAATACAAAGAGAGAAATATTTGGAAATGAATATACACTCTCAAAGTGTGGATATACAACTTGAAGCACTATGGGTATATGGATTTTCAAGATATGAGCTTAAATATATTTGATATTTGAAAGATATGAAAGAATATGCAAATGATAGTGTAGAAGCTCTCAAATCATCCTTAAGATGTGTAGGAATAGTGATCATATCGTTTTAGGGTCATAAGGAATGTATTTATAGTGATTTTTCTCAAAACTAGTCGTTTATAGTCGTTATAGGCTTTCTGTCGCAGGGGGAATCGATTCTCAATGAGTGGGAATCGATTCCCAACTTTTCCAGAGAGTAGGAATCGATTCCTACTCATAAGGAATCGATTCCTAGCCTGTTGGAAAGGTTGGGAATACGACAACAATAACATTGTTTCGAAGTTATAAAATATGTCTAGGATCTTTTTCATGGGTTTTTCAAATTTCTTTCAAGTATATAAAAGTTATGATTATGCAATTCAAAAAACACGTTTACTTTGAGAAAAATTTTGAGCTCATGCAATGCAATCTACCATATAGCCTCACATATATTCTAAGTCCTAAAGATATATTCTAAATATAATTTTAAACTTAGCTTCATGTCTTGTGTCTTGGATTTTTACTTGAGCTCGATGCTTTGACTTGTTGGATATGACAATGCTTGACACTTTGTTGGTTTTGATCATTTTTTACCATGGTTATGATATTGAGCTTCTCTTAGATGTTGTCTATGGTTTGTTGTCTTTGATCTTGGTGTTGCTCTTCTACTTATTCCTTGTTGCTCTTGATCCAATGATCTTGTTACCTTGATATGTCATTACTCTTCTTGTGTGGCTACATCATACATCTTCAATATCCACATATGGTTGATGCTTTTTGCTCTTGATTAATACTCTTCTCTTTTTGTTGTTGCCACTTTGTAATCATCAGAATATACATTGTATCTACAGATTGAAATGTAGACGGGTTGAAGACGAGTCGGGGCGGATTGATCCATTTTTTCAACTCTTAAATTCATTTTTGTAACTCTTAAATTCATTTTTGTTAAAAAGTTAATTAAAAAATAGAGTAAATACCCTTTTTGGTCCTCAACAAATTTTACGATGCCCGTTTTAGTCCCTAGCAAATAAAAAAGCCCATCGTGGTCCTTTAGAAATTCAAAATGAACCTATTTAGTTGAAATCGCGGTCCCTCACAAATTTAAAAAAGACCCATATTAGTCCCTAAAAGGACTAAAATGGATCCATTTTAAATTTTTTAGGGACCATAATGGGCCTTTTTATTTACTAGGAACTAAAACTGACATCGTGAAATTTACTGAGGACCAAAAAGGGTATTTACTTCAAAAAATATAAAAATAGAGGAAGATTAACTTATACTAATGTAACGATAAATTTTTTCCTTATAATTAATTGTTGATTCTATTTGCTATCTAAGAATTCTGATTTTTATCCCAATGCGTATTTTATAAGTGATTTCTACTACTTATTTCTTATATATGTTTTTCATTTTAAAGATTATCCTCAAGTACTTGAATTTAATAAGAAAAAAAAAAATTCTATTGAAAATATACATATAAAATTAGTATTATGTATGGAAAAAAAAATTAGCTAGAATTTGAATAGAAGGGTGGTCTTGTCAAAAGAAATAAAGAAACAAGAAATACTCATCCATCCGAGCATAAAAAAACATGCC